CTTAAATAGATAATTGATACCGCGAGTAATTTATGGATAATCTGTATAGTTTGCACGTGATGAGACAGACTGTCATAAATTCACAACTATAACATGTAGATTCTAAAGTACAATGTGTAGAAAGATAACAGATAATGAAGGTGATAAGCGCTGCGATTTCAACTGGACATTGACGCATTGCAATAAAATATATACATTAAAGTCAGTCAAGACGAAATTAAAACTCAACAACTGTTTTCGCGCATTTCTCGGTATTATCTCACTGATCTCGTTGCAAGAGGAAGATCCAATATACAAGTGTTCCGCAACCTGTTTTTTGTTGCAATGATATGCATTTTTATTCGAGAGAAGAGAGGATAAATCTTGAATTTATAACACAATATATAAAAATAGCACACAGATATTTTTATCACATATCGGATAATTTTGTTTAATATAAAATAGAAATAGATAAGAGTTAATAACCGTTCATATTAAATCAGATTAGCGATAACAACTATTATTATAAAAATAATTAAAAATGTCTTACTTTCCGAAAATATTTCGCAAAAAAAAGGATCCTTGTTTCACCTAAAACTAAATACTTCGAACATCAATCAGTTTTAGAATGTTCGCCCTTTATATGTACCCGCATAAAAATAGCTCGTTGTATTTTCTTATAAAATTTTCGCGTAAGAGCCTTGTTTATCGATCTTATAAACTGTATATTTTCTAAAGAAACTTACTTCATAATGTGATCAATAATAAGAACTCTAATAACTGTCAATGTACAAAAAAAAGAATTTAAAATTAAGATTTGTGATAAAAATTATATATCCACAGATATATGATCTAGTAGTAAAACTTTCGATGTATGAAATTAAAGGATAAGTTTTATTTCTAATAAAACCGATATTAATTTTCGTATAACACTGGTCAACAATGATTTTGTTAAATGGATAGTTTTGACTTATTTTTATATATTTCTTGATAATTCCAAAAATGAGATCAGAATTTGTCACAAGAGTTCCATCTTTTTGTAATCAATACATTTATTAAAATTAAATTATTTAAATTCTTAATCAGCTTTTAAAATTTTTCCATTTATCGTAATGTAAAGTGCAGAAATCATAAAACGCATTTTCTTTCCTGATGTGACTTTAAAAACCAGCACCTCATTTCAGATTTAACTCGCCAGCTTTGTTTACTGCTTTGACCTCGATTACACGAGGCTAATGACACTGTTGAAATTTTCAGCAACTGTTTTGAATAATAAATATCTTTCTCTTTTTGGTAATATAGTATAATTGTGAAATAATAAAAGAAAAATATATATTTAAGAAAAAAGATGTTTCAAAAAGGCATAGATAAATAAGTCTATTTAAAAATATGAACTGTGATATGAAAGATATTAAACACACGCCAGTTGCGTATGAAGTATTCAATCACGAATAGTATTAATTTAACGTTGCACGCGCGCGCGTATATACGAAGTATCTACTAATTTTAATCAGCGTACATTCAGTCAATAATCACGCCTTTAATATACGTCAAGTATTTATATTTAGGTATATGTTTACTTTGACTTTTGTCATTGATCGAAAACGCAGTAGTGTAATGAAAGAAAAATCATGATCGTTCGAAGCAGCACGTGTCGATAACGTGTATTGCGCAATATAATATCGATGATCTCTAGCCCTGTTATATGAAAAAAGTGTCTAATGAAAGTTTAATGCGCTAATGTATAAATAGAATATATAATGTAGAACACATGTATAACATACATGTCTAAAAAAAATCATACTGGTACGTTTTGCTCTAAACAGCCAGTTTTACACACTGAAATCTCTAAATAATATACTTAAATAATTTTGTTAAAAATTATTAAAATTTAAAATTATTAAAATTATTATATTTATTAATAAAACAAAATATATATAACATGATAAATAATGTAGTAAAGTGTTTACAATTCACAATGATAGTATTATTTTGTCTATAAAACAAATCATAATCTTTATTAGAAATATTCATAAACAAATAAATATTGAATATTTGCAATTTAAATTAAATTTTCAATTTATTTCAAAAAGAGAATCTTTAATAGTTACACAACTCGCGATAAATTTTTCATTTATTTTCTTCAATCTATTTTTTATAAAGTCATAAGAAAGAATTTACTTTTCTACTTGGTCCAGATTTTTCTGTTTTTGTATTCACACTACACACATCGTACCATTCCTCTCGTGAATGAAAATGTATCAATCTCGCGGTACAAAGTACACAGTACTGACGTGTGACGTGCATATTTTTGGCGAAACGGAGATGTAGTGAGATATAGTGTAGGCGTATCATTACAAGAGTGATATCATCTGCGGGGTACAAATTCCACCAGATCTATATCCGCTCCTGCTTTTCGTATTATCAGTCTTTGCCAAAGTCGTGGGCAACACTCCAAGATATAGGATGATATCGCGCATACATAGTTGTTTCATTTTCATGTTTAGGTCTGTGTTGAAAGATTAAATATTACTAATGACAGCAATCGAAACCGAATAGCGTTTTCTTTAAATGTATGATATATTGCGACCTTGACCCAGTGCAAAGCGAAGGGCGCACATTCCTTGACCGTGAACCAGATTATCCACGTATCTAGGTTTCCAACACAAAATTAAGAGAATTATTCGAATAGATTTTTGCTCAGCTCATTGTTTCGACAAAGTTTTGATTCATTGTTTATATATTATTCGCGCCGAAATTAGACAGATTCTTTAGTGTATACGTTCCAAAAATAACTTTGATGCATTCTTCGAAGCGTGTCTCACGTGATATTCATCAGCATCCATGCTCGAAGAATAGCATATAGAAAATGGTAAACGTAGTCTGCGGACAAGGTAAAGCAGGAAGTGTGTTGTTGCGGTGCATTTACATAATTATAATTATTCACAACACGCTCGCAACAATAAAGTTGAAAACAAAAACCTTTCTCAAAGTTATTAAAAAATGCGCTCCGTCAAATCTTTTTCACGCTTTATAAAACATTTCTAATAAAAATGATTTACATTAATTATGAAATAACTATATATTCTTGATTATAGACCAATAAATATTCCATAAATCATATCAAGAATTAAAAGACTGCAAACAATATAGATTTCTGTAAAGTATGTTAGAAATTCTATTGAAGCGCTCCTTTTGAAGATTCCTTTAGACATATCTGTGACGTTAAACTGTGATGTCTAGAGACGTCTCTGAAACAAGAACAACCGCTAGACAAAACATGCAACGCACTTGTACATAAGAAACAGGCAATCGAAGGTAAATGACCTGGACAGTCTATCCCACATTCCTATGACTCTAAAACAACATTTCTTTTCATTATATTTCTTATTCAATTTTAATGTCAAATACTCCTTCTTCAAATTATACTTTTTAATATTTTTGTCACTTCGAAAAATTCAAGAGTTGATATTTTCAAATTAATTTGTTTCCAAAAAATTTTATTTGTTACTTTTATCCAGCATTTTAGTTTTAATTAAAATAATGTCATTCTTGATCGTGTAAAAAAAAAAAAGAAAATCGAGTGATAAATATCGATATATTATATGTAAATGTTTCTAAATATATTGCTGAGACACGACAGGAAGAAACTCATTTGAATTGTTCATGCGTGCAGCAATTGCATCACACAAGCGTATCTGTTAACGCTCTTTATCGGCAAAAGCATACATAACATAGCAAATAAAAGGAAGGCCGACTACTTTCGTAAAGAAACATCCTGGCGAAAGTTACTATGTTTTCTTTTTATAAAAGAGAAAAAAGGAGAGAAAGAGACATCAGTTCCCCGTGAGATCCGAAAAATGAGAACCAGTTCTTACATACACATTCCAGAATACATGCTCTTGCGCGTGTTCAAAACATTATAAATTTATCATTGAATCCACACGTACGCCATGCGTGTACACTGCAAAAAGCAGACTAGCATAATAACATCGTTGTTATCATTAACGCGTAAATGCACTAACGAATCATACAGTGGGACATAAGGCATTTTTATAGAGTTCCAAGATCCCTAAAATACGTTAATAAAAAATACAAGATAAATATAATTATCAGGAAATATATATATATATATATTGCAATATTGCACTTATTGTTAGCCCAATATTATATATAAATATAAAAAAAAAAATTAGCGTATATATTATTCTATTTTTGCAATATTCAAATATATATTTTTTATAATAAAAACAAAATATTTCTCACTTAATGCATATAATTATGTTTATTCATTATTTTCTTCATTATTATAAAAAATATATACTTGGATATTGCATAAATAGAATAATATATACGCTATTTTTTTGTTCTCGCATGCACCTCTCACGGTGCGTTTTTTTTGTCGTCGATTTTACGCAGTCGACCAATATGCGTACTTTCGACGGGTCGATATGATCTCATTTTCCGCTCGAAACGCGCGAACACGCCGAGAAGCGTGCTCGATCGTCCGTCACGTGTGCAACGTGACGCATAGCTTTCAGGTTATGAGTTCGCGTGTGCTCCTTTCACAACGGTCTTCTGCTAGACGGTCAGCGCCACTCGGGCGACTCGCGCGATTTCGGAATCGCGTTTTGTCGCCGACCAGGCGTCCGTCTACGACGAGGCAGCGTGAAATATTATCGGCGTCGCGAGGCGACTTTTTCCCGAGCCGACAAGGAATTTCGCTCGCGCAAAATTTCACCTTTTCAGATACGTTCAGTCGCGCGCTTGACTCGCGCGTTGACGCTACCGACTTCCGGTGGAGACAAGCCCATGTGGACGATCGCAGCGAAGACCCAGATCAGTCCGTGATCGGTGTGTTCTTGGTGCGTTACTATTCACGCGCTCTTGCACGTCGGAGTTCATCCCCCCTCGGTTCTCGCGTCATCCGGACTCTGTGATAATATTTCAATAACTTAACTTCAAAGATACAAAAGTAATAGAGATAATCAAGCAATTTATTCTTTTTAATTTGTTTTTAGAATTGAACAAAAAATGGGGTAAATAAAACATATCATTTAAATTGAATATAAATAAAGGTAATTATAAGATTTGTTGGTAAGAAAATGTCTGAGTCTCTAAAAATATATAGAGATTGAAAATATTAATAATAAAAAATCGAAAAATTAAAATCTACTTACCATAAAACTTAAGTCCATAAATATTTTTAGGAAGGAAATAAATATGAAATAGAGTTTTATTTTGATTATACTAATTAATCAAAAGGAATTGGAAGTGTATTATACTTAAATATATGGATATTTTTAATTATAGACGACGAGAGGAGGGAGCGTTCGAAGAAGTTCGCAACCGAGGTGGCAGCAGGTCGTACGCGTCAGAGTCTCAAGCTCAAGTGCCCAAACTCTCCCTGGGCAATAAGTATGGCGCTCTGTCACAAGATCAAAGCTGAAAACACCGATTAAATCAAAAAACATTACATGAATATCGCATCGTCGCTCTTTTTTGTTTGGTGACCCAACCTCGCCGAGAAAATATATTTTCTAGACTAGGATCACGTACCCCTAGCGCGCGTATATCACAGTACGCATGTACACATACTCCGAAGTCTATAAGACCCGGGTATGCCAATTTTGGTTCTCGTCGGCAGTTTTAAAGTGATCGTGCGACGGATCATCGATCTTAGGTATTTGCACGTGCGCTCATGGACCTTGCGACCTTGTAACTAACTCGAAACGAATATCGTGCGTGTGCGCAAGCTTATTTTCATACCATATAGACACGTGGTTGGAAATCGACTTTGATATTTCATTTTCTAATCAGCATAGTGTGTAGAATACACTGCTTCCAGAAAAACGTCAGAATGTGCGGAAGAATGTGTTCGAATCCTCGAAATGTACTCGAATCCTCAAAACGACAGATTGGAACAATTACATATGCGTCATTGTTATGCTCATTGTGTAGTCTAAACAATATTCTTCATTAAAGTATTTTACGTGGTATATTTGCACTTTCTTTTATACAATGCTACTTTTAATTTAACATACATATAATTACTGCCACGATCGATGCCTTCTCATTGAGTATTGTCATTATAGATAGGATGCGTCCGTGGAAACATTAGCGCTATAAATGCAAACGCTACCAACACACACACACATATATATATATACGTGTTATAAAAAAAAATATATATATATAAAATACACATATATAACTAATATATATAATATAATTCATATTATATATATTAGTTATGATGTAGTATTTATCAGTGATATGATTGTGTTTGTTAGCGCTACCATCCAGCTCCGCGAACAGCCTTTAGCGTTAAATAGCGTTAATAGCGTCTCCCCGAACGTATCCATAAAACAAATCGCGTTAATGTCCGAACACGATAAATTTCAAGATCGGCATAACAATGTCGCGATATCGAAATTCACACGATTAGTTTTAGCTGCTCTATGAGAACTATTCTTCAAATAGTTTTGAAAGATCGCGAGATAAATCTTGAGCTCTCTCTTTCTTCAGTTTTGAGAGAGTGTTGCTTCGCTCAAAATGGCAACGTATGTCAACGAACGGAAATTTGTAGGTAAAAAATTATAATTAAGATATATATATATATATAATATATATAATATTAACGAGACTTTGTGCAGGGCTGGGCTTTAGAACGGCGCAAAAATATAAAGATAAGAACGAAATAACACGACCGCGATTTGAGTGGGAGTAACGAGATGCGAAGGGCAAAATAGTGCAAAACACCAGTGAACATGTCGCAATAGTATTGTATACAAAATAGAAGGGAGAAAGACACACAGACCATACATTATGTTAAACATATAAAAAAAATCTTATGTACATCTTTGTTGATAATTGTATAATTCTTTTTTTATTGAGCTAAGATTTTCTTTTTCGAGACGTTCAAGAGTGCGGCAAATATAAATGTCAAATCCATTTCTTGGAAGACGGTTTCTCGTTATTGGCGGATTTTCCCCGGCGAGGTAACGCATGTTGTTTTCGAGATACAATGAAAGGAATGCCATACGGAAATGATAGATAATAATAGGAATTCTTGTATAGCGTGATAAAATGTGATTATTTATAAATAAATTTCTTAGGATAATTTGTACTGCCTTTAAGCATTTTTAATTTGCCGCATCGTATATCATTGATCAATTGATCTTTGAAGGGAAAAGAAGCGCAATGCGCTCAGGTACTCGCGAACACCTTAGCCGACCGTCTTTCCGAGAACGTAATCTCCGTCAACAGAAACACGTAGGCTTTTTTAATAAACAGCGCCAAAAGATATTAAACTTGAGCACGCGCGTCGTGAAGATACAGCATCGGTGCCTCTCAAGAATAGTTTCGAAATAATTTTGGTCGCCGCGAAATACTAGCCTGCCCTTTGTTACAGAATAGTTGAGAAATTACACACTAATTTTATTATTACTGTTATACATGAGAGCGAGCGATGGAATGATAGGAAGTGAGAGTGCGCGAAAGTATGGGGTGTGAGCATATTTAATAAAACTCAATCATCAAGATATATTTGGTTGCCGCTTTCTTCCGCTCCTTCATTTGTAAAATCCTATTTTATGTCGGTGTTATTTAATTTTATTGTAAAGATCTGATAAAAGAATATGACTATTACATGTTATTAATAAATCGATTATTATAAAATCAAAAAATATAGAAAGCAATCATACGAATATATATAAATTATTTTTATCTAATATACTCCCGCACAGGAAAAAATAACGCATATCTAATTATATATATGTATGTATACATATAAGAAAAAAAGAACATGAACACCTTATTAATTATTAATATATATAATTATTACGATTTTTTTTTTTGCGGAACGCACGCGCGGCAATACAAAACAATCTTTATTAATCATTCCTTATTTCCTGCACATTCTCACTTTCTCGAATTATTTAATCACAAGAATTTTACCAATATCGTGAGAGAAAATATTTATCATTCTGCGCTCTAGATGGAGTGTTCAAAGAACGTCATAAAGGCTCGACGCATCGTTATCGCTGCAAAGAAACAAAAGCCGCTGGCAATGATTTATTGCACCTCCTTTCTGTGATCGTAAATTGGATCGCGAACATACTTCCCACAATACTTAAGTCCATGACTTCCATTATTGCTGTAAGATGCGTACATCGGACTATCCAGTAAAGAGGATCTATATATCGGCAAAAAATATATCCATGCTTTTGTCAACTCGCCAACCTAGGAAAGAAATAAATCCGTTAAAAGAGAAAATTAGTGAAATTAAATAATGAAAAATATCGATACATCTTGCGAAATTCAAAATTAGCGAATGCTTTGGCGACAACTTATTAAAAATTACCTCTTCGAACGTTTTCCCAGATTTGAGCGCAGTTTCCGGAGCCAATAGGATTTCTTCTTCGAATCGCTCGTAAAACGTGGGGTGCTCCTCTAATTCATCCAGTTTTTTCAGCATTTTAGAGTCCATGTCATATATTTCCCCAAGCACGAGCTGCTTATCCGAAGCAGTAATTCAGTGTATATTGAAAAATATATAAAATATTGAGAATTAAAGTTATAAGAAGAATAAAAATTGAAAAGATTGAAAATTATATACAAGATTTAGTTACGAATAATTTCATTAAAGAAGCTAATACAAGCAATAATGGGATGCTTAAATAATATATTTGATAATAAAATACATTTGACGGAATGTTTCTGCATTTACTAGTGCATCTTCAACCTAAATGTATATATACTAGAAGCAATAAAAGTTTGTCGCACATCTTCGGAAAGTGTAATCTTATTATTATAATATTATTATAATCTCATTATTTTTTATTTTTCTTCAATCAATTTAATTTAAAATTTTCTACAATGTCAAAATTTACACATAGCTGAAAAAGGACTAATTAGTGCAGAAATGTTTCGTTAAAATATATATTTCATTATCAAATATCTTAAATTTAAACATCTAATTATTGCTCGTATTAGCCTTTTTAAAAATATTATTAATATAATGAGCCAATGGATTTTGATTACATTAATTAAATTAATTAAATTAATTAATTAATTAAATTCCTTCAATTCTTCTATTTTTAATTCTTTAAAACTTCTAATTTTAATATTGTAAAGAGATTAATTTTTTCTCAACTCACATTGCCGACGTCGGGTTTCTTCAATAGGAAAGGAATGTTATATCTTGTAGCGATCACCAGAGGATATGAAACTGTCGTCCTTCCAAGACCCAGGAATTTTGCATAGCCGTTCGTGGCATCCTTAATAAGACCATGATTCGGCTCGCCTCGTTTTAATGTGCCGTACACGAATACGCGGTGCAACGGACTCTTGAACAGGTTTTCATACATGTCGGAAATCGCGGGTGACTCGCGGAAATCTCACACGTGACTTTCAGCCAATGACTGTCGTTGATAAAAATTGCTCAAGGTTGTATATATCTTAGAATAACACTTCGAAGGGATTGGAATGTCGCGAAAGAATGTAACGAAATAGTCGAAATTCCTCTTTAAGCTCACGTTTGGGGAACGCACAAGATCGTTCGAATTCAGTAAAAAGAAGTGGAGAGCGATGGAAAACTTGACACTTTGACAGTACACGATAACTGACTGTCACATGTAAACTGGTGAAGATTACGGCATGTCAACACTAGATGTCAGTAATGTCAATTGGCGGGATTATTTAGAATTCAGTCGAATGTGTGTGGACACACGCAAAGTATATAAAATAATATCTTATAATTATATTTTTCACATTTCATCCTTCAAATTTATTCTCCAGTTTATATTTATATATATAAATTTCACAAGCAAATATGAAAATAGTAAACGCAACATTATAATGGGATTATCGCAAATTAATAATCGCTTAATCGAGTAGACGTGGAAAAATTGTTAATCATTAACTGTCAAATCGATTACAATGAAAATTTGCGAAACAACTTTTTGCACGTAATTTCTAACGTGTTACTATTATTTATATTTCATGAATGGAAAACGTTCACGTAATTCATTTATTACCTTGGTCAGTGAAAGATCCACAATATTTTCTGATGGATGGGAGTGAAATGAATCCAGTTCTATAAATATAGCAATGTTAATGAACACGGTAACGCTGGCGACGTGTAGTAACATTTTCACGAAATGCAATAATTGAAGTGACAATGCGGCCAGTTTGAGTTCGCTTGTGTCGGATACGGAGAGGGCATCGTGCGTGGTGTGTGTGTGTGTGATAAGATAAGATTTTCATCCAATAAAATTTCCGAACAAGTGCATTATCACTGGTCGCACCATCTCGCGCGGCAATGTACCCAAAATGACTTCAAAATCTAAATGTGAAGACTCTATAGAGAGTACAATAGAAGAATTAATATAAATACGAACAAATATATTAATATATTAAAAATAAATATTTTCTTTTTTATGAAAGAAATAGGCAGTTTTCGATATTACCACAATAACTTTTCAAATTTGAATCAAAAAGAATATTTTACAAGAAAAAATAATTAAGAAGGATAATGATTATACACTGATTCTGCTCCGCAAGATTTCACTCTCTACCGGCACGAGATCTTTAAAATCCTCATCTCGAATTATTTGATTATCTTGTCGTCTGCAACGTAAAAGCTCCTGTAACGTTGTCCAGTCTTCATTCTTTGAGATATCATTACTCTAATCATAGAAAAAAAAGATGATCAATCATCGATGAAAATTTTTTCTCTAGTGAGATTTTTTAGTGAATAATATATAAAGATTACCTCCAAAAATACGTATAATAATCCCCTACTGTAATCGTTTAATAGCACATAATTCTGATAATACAGACACGATATCAGTTTCTTTAATGTCTTATTCGTCAAATGATTGACTAGACAAAATATATAATTTTATGTATTAAAAATCATCAAAAATTTAATGTATAATATAACAGAAGCGTACAACTTAGACTCAAATGTTGCAACTCCAAATTTCCGCTCGCCATTACAGAGCCTTTTATTGCCATAGTTTCTCTTGTAAATGGATGGCTAATATTAGTATCTGAAAATTTCTCCGAAATCTGTAAAGATTATATTTTATATTCTTATTTCTATTTCAATAATTCCTGATTAATAAATCAAATGCTGATAAAAAATACTTGGATGGAATTGTCTGATATCGACGGAGAATTCATTTGTGTCTTCATCTTTGACGAGTTATCGCGACGATTCACTGTATTTTGAGGACTATCATGAAATGAATTTTCAAGCAACTTGAAAAATGATAAACGTACTTTTTTTAGAATTCTGAATTAAATTCTGACGCTGCCATATTTTACTTCTCTTCCATCTTGTTGTGACGGAAGTTTCTTGAATAGTTCCATTATCCAGCTATAATTACCATCTTTTATTTACGACTGGGCAAAGTAACATTATGGCGAGAGATAATCTATCAACCTTGTTCTCCAACTCGAGAAATCTGCGACGTCGAAGATCGACGACTTCTTCGTGGGTTAAAGCGGACCTATCGCGTTATATTATTAAAGATAGCAGCCTAAACCGGGAGTATCTAATTTAATCGCTTTTATCACTTTTACTATTAAAAATACATGCAAAGTTCCTGGATTATCAGCAACGCCCCGTCATCTTGTATCTTGTTTCTGGTTAAGATCATGCTTTGTAGAGATCTACAAATATTGGTAAACATTACGTTTTATTAAATGTAAATGTTTTCGGCTTGGAAAATATAGATTAATATCTTTTGAGTTAAAACTTTAATAATCAACTATTACCGATTAGTTCGAAGCATCTCAGCGATATACTCAGCACCGATGTCTGTAATATCGTTATCCGCCACATTAAGAGCAATTAATTTTGGATCGTTCGGCGGATCCCGGTATTTTAATTCATCTGCGATTTTTTGTATACCTTTATCGGATAACTTGCACATCTTCAACGATAAATAGTGTAAACTAAAAAACACTAATTTTCCAAATTGAATGTTCGTCGCAATGATATATATATATGCAATTGTATAACGTACTTTCTAGCCGGTGTGCAAAGCAAAAAAAAATTTTCTTGCACATTTGGATTGTTATCCAGATTTAAATCGGTTAGACATTCGAATTCCGTCAACATTTGCGCTATTTGTAAGATGCCGTAAGCATTTATTTGACAATTGGGCAGTCTGAGAGAATGTAATTATTATGTATTACATATATATGTTAAGTCACCCGGCTCATTTTAAAGTTTCTGTTACTTGAGCACTGTAATAGTGTTATATTTCTGCAACGTAGTATTCAGTGCATCCAGAATGCAAATCGATACTTCCTGTCGTGCAATACAAAAAAGATATTACGCATCGCAAACATACAAATGCCAATATCAATAAATAAACGTGATAATTAAACGTGATAAAGTAAATGTTAATATATATTTTTTTCATATTTTTATCATTCTTATCTTTGCATTCCAGTTTCTGTATGTTCTCCATTATTTTAGGATTCTCGAAGAAAACGTAAAAGATCGGAACATCTTCCTCCAATTTAATCCTAAATAAACCACGAATTTAAAGACAGAATGAAAGTTGTAATCACAATCATAATATTTACTTTTCTGATTCAAATTTTGTAAATTCCATGCCATTCTTTATCTGCAAAAAAATATAATGTTTATAAAATTAATAATATACTAATATAAATCAATATGATAGCATATCTACAAAGATTTACTAGAAAACTAGGCAACGGCTCTACTTCATATTCCTCGCAATGCCTTAAAAACTCGGTAATAAAATTTTCTTGAGGCATTTCTCCTGCGTGATCTGTCACAAGAAATGATATTAATGACAATCTATATATCACTAATCTTAATAATCTTATACAAATGTTTTCATATGTTGCTTTCTCCTTCCATATAAAAAGTATATTAACCATTTATCGATGTAGCATACTTTTTTCTAATGTCCGTCATTTTTTATTTAACCTTTTGCTATTTTGCTTTTATTACAATTTCAAGAAAAACAAATGACAAAAAAAAATATTCAGTAAACCATTCAAACGTATTCATTTTTTATTTAATTATATCAGGAGACACACGGAAGTGTCAAATAAAACGCAGTAACAGCGCGACTGGAATCGGATTGGAATTATTGTGTTATTAGATATTTGTTACAAAAATCTTTAATGCAGTGTCATCGAGTCGAACCCCTCGATTTTTTACATGCGTCGTAAATTCATAGATCTGGCGCCGGCCACAGGTCGGGCATCCCCGCTGTGGACGGGACGTAATCTGATGCCTGGAAAATATAGGGGTGACTAACCCCTAGGACGCATAACCGGGGATGCGGGGAAAAGGCTTCGGGAAGGTATATCAAGCGAACTTTTGTGCGTGCTGTATGGTGCAATAGGAGGCAGAGAGCATCGAGTGGCGATAAAGGTCAGCCGTAGGGCTTTCGAGGGATTAAAGTCTGTAATTACGGGGCTACAAGGACGATTACCGAAATGATTTGTGTCGATCCTAACGGCGCCGCAAACGACCGCCGTAAAGCCCCAGGCTCGATCGATGACACATCATCGTACGAGAAGCGAACAGTTGCGTTAAATTGATGGCGCGCGCGGCAAGAATGCTCGATCGAAGAAAGAAAATTAGAATTATATCTCTATGAAAAATAGAAATCCGTAATTTATTCACTGTACAAGTCTCACTATTGTATATAAAATTATTTTGGTTTGCTGTAATTGTAAAGCGTATTATTAACATTTCCTTAATTATTCTATATAATAATTACACATTGATAATCAATTTATTTCAATATATGTATACATTTTTATTATTTATATATTACTTAAATAATTAAAATTAAGAATCATATATTGTTATGTAATAAAATGATTACAAATAACTTGAATAGCGATTAAATGTATATAATTGTTAGAATAATGTAGATTATATACATCTTAAAAATTTTATTCTTATATTAATTTTGATAAATTCTTCGATCGAAAACTGCGTACTATAATAAATATTTATTAACTTTTTTATTTTTGGTTTATCATTAAGATATAATTGTCCAATTCTGTTCTTGCTCCTACACAGCGGCATGACAAGTTTGCGTCTCGTTATAGCGAATAGCGACCCCTCCGCCGAACGACGCGCGTTCTTCAGTCGTGCTTCGCGCGTCCAGCGAGCCGCACGTGAGGTAGATCATTCGCGTTCCTATCTCGAGATTAGACACGATCGGTGATAAATTGCGCGCATTCTGTCAAAATAGTGATTTCCAATTCAATTCTGAGTATTCAAATTAAAATATCATTTATCAATGAAGCATCGGTTTTGCTGACATGTTGCTGGATTAAAGACAGAATAGGAGCGACAAAAGGTAAATTGCATTACTAATTGTTATCGCAATTCTTTAACCAATTTAATTTCCAATCAGCAGTTCGCAACTTTCAACAAAGAATTAATGTCTCTATATAGTTGTAATTATTTTATATATTTTTTATATACATTTCACCCGCCTCTCTCTCTCTCTCTCTTAAATTAATTAATAATATTAGTAATATTGGAGCAAAGTAAAAATTTGTGATTGCGACAATTTTTTCTAAAAGAAATTATTATTACGAATATTTCGACGGTAATGCAAAAGAGATTTACATCGCGTAAATCTTCGCCCGCGAGTGTTTCGCACTTCTTTGCATCCATGAATGCATCCCTTGCCGATTGCATTAATTTACGAGTGTTTACATCACGATGTCAGGGCGCGCCGTAATCGTACACGAACACGATACTATGAATTATGCATCCCGGGGTGGTTTCGAATTTCTTTCAGGGTCATTTTGATCCTTACACGAAGAGACTGCTCGCTGCACGTTCACAGTCATTAATATTAATTTTATGCGACGCATAACCGCTAAATTGGTACAAATTACGACATAATGTAGACGACACGCTCGTCAATTAAACCGCGCATTGCCTGGCTTTTAGAAATTTGTTTCCCGGACCGATCAACAGATTTTTTTCTATTTCTCATTATATATTCTTGAAGACACTTTTCAAGTCGTATTTGGATTTATTTCAAAGAGATACTCGATGAATGACAGAAAAATAACAGAGATAATGAGAATTAATTGGTAGTCCTGATTACGATTTAGATGTCGGCAAATTCTACGCGTGATAAGCAGTTTGATCTTCTTCGTCTGTCAGTGAAATGAGATAGCCATGAAATGTTTCAAATATCGCTGCATTCATGCACTCTGTTTACGCAGAAAAAGTCTTACGCATTATTTACGTGTAGCCTTTAAACTGGGAAAATTATATATAGTCATTCAAGATGATTATGAAATTCCGAAATTATATAAGAGAATAAAATCGGTATAAAATATTTTATTTTATCGAAGATATAGAGACCACGGAGGGAAAAGAAGGGAGAAAGATTAGTTATTATTCGCGAGAGAATGTATCTTAAATTTCCAGACTCATGTCAGCAATATTTCGGCACGAACTTTAATTATGTAACTCTATCCATGATCGCCTTTTGCATCGCGTATGGTAAAACGTAAAAACACAGGGAAATCCAGGGAGATCAAATCGTATTTCTCCAGATGTTGCTGATGCACACGGTGCAGCTGGTCGACCGCTTGGTACACGCGCTCACTTGTAAATTCACCTTATTACTTTTTTTCTCCACACGGAAGGAGGCTGGCTTGCTTTTTTTTTTCTCTATGTAAGGAATGCGGGCGACTCGTGTCTGGAGAACGATTCGATGAACAAAGGGGGTTCCCCGCGCTTTCTGTGTGGGACCTTCCGGGCCCTTTCTTTTCGGCTTTCAAGTGGGTCAGAGTTGGATGGACGAGACAGGGAACGATGAAAGAACTTCGAGGAAAGGGTTTTGAAAAAGTCAATCAAAACGGGACATCAGATAGACATAGGATACAACGTAGAAAAAAAATTTAAGTAGAATGTAACAAACTAAAAGACAGATAAAAGTTATAAGCGCTTGTTGAAAGCGCTAATTCATTCAGATTCTATAAAATGTGACTATAAATTCTACAAGTAACAAAAAATTATTTTTATTCTCTTTGTGATTGCGAATTAAAATCGCAGAATAGATTCTGCAGATTCTCACGGATGTCGCATCGGGAAATCCGCTCTTTTCCCTTTGAAGAACTCTTCCTCAAGGAGTAATGTCACGTATGGGCGCGCATTATTTAAAACGAATAGTCCGTGAATAGCAATTAAAATGCGTCGCGTGTCATTTCACGTAAATGCACGAGTAGGCCGAACACGTGGTAGCCTAAGAGCAAACAGAAGAATGAATTAAAAAATACAATGACGACTGTTAGTCGAATCGATTATTCTCTCTCAAATGAAAAATTAAGATGTTTCAATAAAAAAAAAGAAGAAAAAATTTGAAGAATATTTTGTCCAAAAAAAGACAACAAAATTAAAGATGTGACGAGAGAAAGTTTTTAATTCTACAATAACGATTTTGTGATTACGACTTTTTTCGATTAAAAGAGTCTTCCTCTTTTGAATAAAACAATCTTTTAATTTATGAAAAATTTGGCTTCGTGAAATTACGCCCTCTTAATATTAAACAATTCTATTGCACGGTGTATCGTTTGCGTCGCGAATTTTTCACTCTTTCGCAATCAAATCGAACGGAAGTGGTAGTAACCCACAAAAGGACAAGCGGTCAGACCGTTTTACATTCCGTGGGTGTTTTCTCTCGCCTCTAACACTCTCTCCTCTTCCCTGTTTCTCTCCTCCTACTCTTGTCAGTCGCTCTTCTGTGTCTATTGCTCCTATCTTTTCCTTTCTTCCTGGCCTTCTCTCGGCTGGTTCGCGACCAGCATAGCCAGTCGCTGTGTCATCGAGGCCTGATACATCATAAATATAAATTGGCTGAGCACTCGCGCGTGTGCGCGCATAAATGAAGCCGCGTAAGTGCGTGCGTGCATGCGTGCGTGCGTGCGTGCATGCCCCCGGCAACGTTAGGGAATGTTAATGTTTAACCGGCAGCGATGCTCGCCAAAAATGATAAACAAATTGCACCGAGAAGTTTCGCATTAACACGCCCTCCAGTACGTAAACACGAGAATTTAACAGGAGTAGCCACGAAGTCACGGCAATTTACCGCGAGAAACCGGTCTTTCTTGGTAAAAGAATATAAAGTTAAATCTTATAAAAATTCGGTTAACTGTATGAGAAAATAGTGATTATTGCTTCTATATAATTATTGTTACGAATTTTTGGTAAGATTTATCTCTTGCTTGCTTATTGTTAGTTGCAAAATTAGTAACATCCTAAATATATTAAAATAAGATTGCATGAACATCAAGAGCGCGGAAATAATCTCGATTTCGAGCAACTGCAATGATTAACGGCGTTCGTGGAATCGCCTGTCAGTTTGTTCGTTTTAGTTACACTCCCTGCATTTTGTTCCTTGTCTCATTTTCTCTCGAGAGAACCTGAACATACATCTATTTTATTTTAAACGCTGAGAGCGCAAAAGGAAACGCGGCTAAAACGAATAGAATCTAATCGTGCTGGCCTTGCGGCGATTATTCCGCACGCTCAGAAATATGCACGCAGATGCGGGCGGCAAATGTGCAACTTCCAGAGAATCGAGATTAGCTCGTTAATGATGCTTATATTTACCCGAGAGTGCGCAAAGTACCATCGCGAATTCGCGCCGGATCCGATGATAGATTTGACGAATCATTTTCAACGCGTGTCCAATCTAAATAACATACATGCCCCAAACATGATTTAAAAATAACATAACATATACAATATATTTCAAATTTATCGAGAAATATCCTACTCAATTTGACACACATACTTCTTCTAAAGATATTTTACATAATAGTAAAACATAATATAAATTGCAATGATATTAATAATACTTTATATCTCATACAAAATATGGCAACTTATATACGTTGACCTACAAATATAACATACAGCTACCGCCATATAATCGGAATTATCGTAATTAAACAGAGCCTCCACAGCAAACGGTTCGCACGCCGGACTTAAGACCGATCAACGACGGTTATCTTAATTGCCGGGTCTTCAACGTGAGAGCACCGTTAGCTCGTTGTCGTTGTTCCTTAATTAACCCGTCGTTATGCTAGAACCGTGGAGAAGGCCTCGCATCGGTGTTATCACGCGGCACGGTTCGCTCGTAAATAATATTTCACCGAACTTACAAGAGGAAGTAATTCCTCGCGTGCATCATACACTTCCTGTTGATCACAAGTTCCGGTATCTATCAATTATATCAATCAACAACAAAAATTCCTTCGATTTTTGTTATAGACATTGCACGTATTTTTTTTTTTTTTTATTTTTACATTGGGACTAAATATGTCCTCATAAGTTTTAAGATTGATGTAGTAATATAATTTTATAAAAAATTATTTATTACTACATTATATGTCAAGATAAATAGTTAATTTATATTGCAATGTAACCATATATTTAATTTCTTGCTACATTTTACTTGAATAACATTTCTTTATGTGTCAAACAATAATCAGCTGACATATTTGACTTGTCCTGGTTATTATATGATCCATATATGATTAAACGCAAATCGGATATTAATTATATCCTCGCTGGATTTTCTAATAATCCCGAATCTCTCGATCGTACATTCAGTACGGCTTCGGGACTAATCGAATTATTGAAAAAAGCTTTCGGAATTGCGATAAATCACTACGGTTAAAATCGATGGTGTAAGCAAGACGCGGTGAAGCTAAAGAGAAAAAGAAATAAATCTCTCTTTCTCTGTCTCTCTTCTTGCAGACTGGATCCCGAAAAGGGCGAAGAGGGAGAATGAAAACAAGAGATGCGAGATGCAAGGGAGCACCTGTCTAACAGCTGCCTCGCATATGGCGTTAGTACACTCGCGAGATTATGTAAGGAGAGTAGATGTCTTGTTTTTAGATGCAACGGACAGAGGCTTTCAAAATAATTAAGATGATCCGTGTCGTATTAATTGACGGATTTTTTAAAAGATCTTCTCTCGCAAGGATAATCTTTCTATTAAAATTTAAATGAAATACTGCTTTCTTCCCTGTCATTTAATCCTTATCATCCTAATCATCCTTATAATATAGTGACAGATTAAAATTCTGTCTTGAATGTGAAAAATTATTCGATTTTGTCAAGTATATTTGTGAGTGCTCATTCTCGCAAAGGATTATATAATATATTTATTTATATAAATATTTAATCCTATTGTGAACGCATCTGTGGGTGGCATCTGAATTTCTCATTTGGCTCACGCATCTTCGCGGAATGCAATATCCTCCCTCCTCTTTTCCAGCCGTTCCGCAGACGCTCCGACCATTAGTCATCCGCCAATGGGTCCTCTGTCCGGTAACTCATGGTCGAAAAACCGTAACTCAGCAAAGAATACTAATAATTTCCTTGTAAGTCTAAATCTAGCGTCTGTGCTCGATTTCACCGTGATAATAAATCTGTCCTCTACCAGATTGTGTAAAAACACATTCGCTGATTAAAAAACGTTAAACTAAAATGCGCACAGAAACGCACTGTATTCGTTGTCGAAAAGTATGCAAATAAATAATGACGGTCAAAATAATAATGAGCCAGAAAGAGATCCGCGCGCTTCTACATTGCAGTGTCGAGATCTCGATACAAGTTTAAGGATTAATTCACGACGGTGGCTCGCGCATTCTCAGAGAAAGGAGCCTGTATCGCATTATGAAAAGGCGTGGCAGAGCTACGTAACAATGTGAAGCCGGCAATTAAAATGAAAGGGAAAAAAATGTGCGGCTGTTCGTCTATTGGCGCAGACAGCAGCCTGCCCACGCGTCCGATGCCGCGTTTATCTCTCCGTCCGCTCGAATCCATGCCATAGATTGTCAATTTAACTATGGCTCATTAATTCCCGATCATGCGCAAAAACAGACCATCGTAGGACGCCGAAACAAAGAGCTAAACGTGATGGAAAATTGTTTAAGTGGAAGCGATAAGTCTCCCTCTCGGTGACTCAATAGCCACGGGTGGGAGCTAGTTAATTATTCTTAATTAATGGTCAATTTGGGAATCAGAAAGTTGCCGATATTTCTCGCATTGTTATTCGGAAGAAATAATTTATCATTGAAATAAACTCGCAATCGTCAAGCGAAAAAGAAATAAATTATAGAAAACAAATCTGACTTAAAAAAAAAAAATTGTTTTCTTAAGATACCCTTATAATATGTCAACGTCGTCTCTTGTCAGAAGGATTCATTATTGTACCGTATTCGAGAGAGTGTAAATATATAAACAGCGATTAGGGTGTGATCCTAAGTAAACACACTTTCTGAAGTGGTTGCAAGTCGCAGGCAAGAGGTGACGGAAATAAAAGTGACAACTGTACCAAGTACGATAAATTTCTCCGATCTTATGCACAATGATACTGCTATAATATCCTGTAAAATTTATTTATATTTAATTTTCAAAAATAAAAATAAATCTTAATAAATATATTATTATTCGAGACAGAGAGATCTCTCTAAATTTTACGAGAATGTATTTCAAATCGGGGGACTGTTGTATTGTTACGAATATTCCAAACATATAATCGAGTTATTAAAATACATCTTTTTATTCGAGATGCGTATAGATCGCATCTCACAATTAGCTTCGTCGATTCACCGCGTCGCCGGTAAGATCAAAGTGATGCTCTTCAATTGGCGGTAAGAGGACGAAGGCGATTAAGTTTGCGGGTTTGAAGAGCACTAAGAATCTCGAGAGAGAGAAAGAGAGAGAGAGCAGTCTCAAGCAGCACGTGTGGTGTAAAAGTGAAAAGGCGCCGCCCTCACAAACACGTCGAAAAGACGGACCGAAGCTATTCCGACTGAAAGATAAGATGAAGCATTACTTCAGATTAATCCACTTTTAATGTATCATTTTTCTTTTTCCAAAAAAAGATATTATCATCATAGATAACTTAAAACGCTTGACGATGTCTCAACCATTACGACAAAATTATCAAGAAATGTTTGTTTTTATTTTATTCCCTTTCACAGGCTCTACATATATTGGAAAAAAATCCTAGCATCGTTCTTAAGATTCTAAATAAAAAATCGAAGACCACAAGAGTCTGGTCTCAGAGTCAATCACGGATGAAATGCCTTACGGTGTTCGTTCGTCGAAGATTCCACTCAAACGAGTGCCGCGAATCAGATCTACGAATGATTCCAATGCCCGGCAAGGGGGGTCCCGTGCCCTTTCACGATTTCCGTGAAATCAGAATAAAGAGTTAGAACTGTGTTAGTCGCTGTGCCGTAACCCGAGATTTGTGTATTCTACGGTTTAGTTTTGCGACCTCAATTTTAATACTCGAGCAAAGAGAACCTCGAATAACACCAGCGCGCGTTTCCCCGAAATACATGTGAAAGGCATTTATTCCACCACACGCCCGACCGAATCCCCCAAACTCCCTCATTAAATCTTTGAATCTCAGTCAAGAGCAAGAAGTCGTTCGCGTTAATTGCAAACATCGTATTCTATTTATAAAGGAATTATCGAAATATTTTCTTACAAATCCTTGCTTGCCAATTGTGTCGATAATTATAAATCTATCATTTTCTAATGTAATGTGTGAATTGTAAGAAATTAATATGTTATTTTGCAGTGATCGAGCAATTTAAGAATGTGATGGCATAAAGCGAAGGAACAATCGATCGGCAGCATGTGTTATGTGATAGTTACTGGGCGCAGTTTGCTGTGGACGCTCTTGTCTCTGGCAGCGTTGATGGCGGTTTTATCGGGCCTCATCACTCCCAGATGGCTCGTAGGACCACCGACGATTAAGGATACGAGTAAATATCTTCTTCCCAATTAGATAACCCGCTCGGGGGGCAGGGGGAGACGCGCGATATCGGAATTCCCGTTGGGTACTTATATATATAATGGTGCAACGATAACATTCGTCACATATAAAATATCTATCCGTTTAATGTTACAATAGACATGCGTTATCGTATTATACACCTACGCTCTATCGTTCGTTGTTTGCTCGAAAATTTCAGAAAACGGCACGGAACTGTACACACCGACAGTCGGGATCTTTAATCGTTGCACGAGATTGTTTGGCAAGACGCATTGCGCGAATTTTAACATCGACGGTTTCGCAACGGATTCCAACGTCTTTCCGGGATGCTGGAAGGCTTCCCTGTTTTTCTTGTCCGCGGGCCTGGCCGCGATGTCGGTGACCGTGATGGCTGCTCTACTGGGATGCTGCATACAGAGCATTGGCCGTAAGAGCATCTTCAACCTGGCGGGAGTGGCGCAGGCCGTTGCTGGTAATATTGCTCTTCGAGAGAGGAGGATTGATATGATGAGATGATGAAACTCCGACACTAAGCTTCTTAGCTCAGATGCGAAATAATCTTATAAATGATGAGCGATATATATTTAGGTATTTCTATGCAAAGAGTTTTATATATTTTTTTTTATATATACAGCGGAGAATTAGAAAGTTTCTTGTGCGCTTGAAAAATATTGATAACTTCTAAAAGCAATTTGTAATTTATTTTTTCTTCTTTTTTTCTAAAAGACGCATTATTTCAAATATAAATAATGATAATGTATAAAGCTCGCCGGTCTTTTCTCAAGATTGCTGACAATAGTAAGAGTAATGCAAATTTTTAAAAGACCACGATCGCTCTTTGTACAGCTGGCTATTCCACGTGTAGAGCGTGCTTTTAGCCTAACAATGGCATCTCGAGCACGTGTGGCGCAACTTCCATTGTAACGAAAGGTTGTGTCCGGAATAATCAACGAGTATACGCAATCTTAAAAAAACGATACTCACTTTGCCACGGTTCTAATAAGTCAGATAATCGGAAAATATGTAACACGTGCTCGTATAATTTAATGTACCGCTCTAGTTTGATGCATTTTTTTATTTTCACAGGAATACTGTACCTTTTCGGGATGATCCTATACCCCGCCGGTTGGGGTGCCGAGAGGGTGCAAAGGATTTGCGGTCCTGAAGCTGATGCCTTCTATCTTGCTAACTGCAGTCTCGGTAAATCTAAAACACATACCGAGATGTTTAATATTAAAATTTAAAAAATTGCAAGTGCAGTCTTAAAATTGGACTTTTGATATTCTCTCTGAAAACATTTTAAAGTTCAATTTTTATCTTGAAATAATTATATAGTCTCCTACTCGAAGAATAGATCAAATGATACAGATCCCTGCTTTCAAAATAAATTAAATCAAAATTAAATTAATTTTAATCGTATTAGTTTTTGAAGAATCTAAAAGAATAATTTCTTTAGGTTGGGCCTTTTATAGCGCAGCGATCGGTGTCGCTCTTACTTTCGTCTGCGCCATTTTCAGCGGACAGGCGGAGAAGTCGACGGCTAGCGACAAGGTCCAGGACAAAATGAACGAAGGAAAGACTCTAATATGCTTAGCCTGAGCGCGCAAATAAAATCAACAAGGGGTCCGATCTCACCAATAGGTTCCCTCGGTATAAAGCGTCGAAAAGGAATACTTGGAACAGACCAATGGAATTTTAAAAAATATTCACCTCGTTGTGTTCACTGCATGACAGAACAAAGATAAATATTTTTGCAAACGAAATTATACGATCTGAATAATTAATCGTACAAGATTAGAAGGAAATGGATATTTACAGAATATTATATATGTATAGGAATAGAGTATTAAATGTACTTACCGTCTTCCCACAATTACTGCCGCAATTCATATAGACATTTGCAGTGTTTTTGCAGAATTCCTATTTTATATCCTATTTTATAAAGTAAACAATTTTATCATAAATGTGTGTGCTCGATCTTATTTACTCGATGTAAAAAGAGAATAAATGTATTATCGCAACGAGATGTAATATATATATATGTAACAGTATGATTTCTCTTATAAGCATCTACTTAACTAATTTTTCATGTTCTTCATATTCTAACAACAAGTTTGATCGATAAATAATGGAATTTATTCGTTTTATTATTATTTTTCAACAGATTGTTTGAAATTCGATCGAACGTATAATTTAAATAGATACATGTACATAAAAAATTATTGGCTTACATGTCCATCGATTATATACATAAGTATAAATAATGAAGGCACCAAGGGAATCAACAATTAATAATTACATGAGCGAATTTATACAAAAATTTCGAAAAATTATAGATATAATTGACAATGATAGGAAAATGTAACGGGAACGAATAACGAAATCGTGATTATACAACTCGTGTGTAACAACGCGCGATGCGATTATTTACTTAAAGTATGAGTGTTATTTGGTTGATGACTTGCTGTTAAAACCGCTGACCATTGATCGCTGACCATCGATAACGCTACAGTCATATAACTATGCAAATAGAGATTGACGTGATGTGACGAGAGAGATGCTCTTATCGCAGAGGAATGTCAAATTCGGCGGATCATGGACATCAAGTGACATGTTTGTCGATCACAGTCGGATTACCGCGGCGATCTGCGTGTGCCGCACCGCAATAATATAGATATTATTGACGCATCTGCCATATACATCCAGTGTATCTCTCTCTCCCACAAACGTTTCGAATTTATGTGCAATATTCGATGATTTATCAAACACGAACATTTTATAAATGTCAGCCTTCTGGCGTGTTGGAGTCTCGCGCGCGAAACTTGGAGAAACAACATTGCGCAGAAAATTGCTGAGAAGAGAGCGAGATTAATTTTTACGTCCACGTTTCGTGCGAGAGACACGAGGAGATATAATTGCATATAATTATAATTAGAATGATAATAATAATAAAATAATATTAATCGCATTGTGAGACAATGATAATAATAATAAGAATAATAGGAATCTTTTTACTCCTGCTCTTACTTGTTGACGACATTTCATTCAACGAGAAAACTTCATTGATATCTGATAGAAAAAATTATTAGGCGAACGCTCGGCATAGAGTCGATCTTGTGCAAATGTGAATATTCTATTTACATACATAAGCTACGTAATAAACTGCCTAGGTTAAGGAAAATTGCAAATTATCGTAATTAAGTTTAGCCAAGAAAACAGTGTTGCGTCAGAATCATTATATATATATATTATATAAATACTTTTAATACCTCTTTATTCTCCATCCACCGCCCCTCCTTAACCTAGACAGTCTCTAGACTTCCAAAAAACGACTGACTCCCATTGGTGAGAATGCTTATAGAACTGTATGTATATGTTCCTTTTTTAATTGCCAGTTCTTAAACACCCACACACAATTTACTATCTTTTTATAAATATAAGTTAATAATGTTCGCCCCCCCCCCCACCCCCCGCTGCGATACGTAATGTAGAAAAACAATTCTATAAGTAAAGTGTTATAGTAAATATCTCACGTTTCGCGTTTATAAAATATCTTTATGGACAAAAGGCGACGCACCGTCATCGTATCGCGTTATTGCGTTAAAATGCTCGGGATAATACGTGACACGTCAAAGCTCGATGAAAAATGAGAGATCTTTATGGAACGTAAATTCCTGCTCTTCATGTTATTTTGCATGTATTTATATCCTCTCTCTCTCTCACGAATAATATTAAATTTCTGCAACTTCAACACATATATTACACAATATCTGCTTAATACTTTCTCGTTTCTCGTATGCATATAATTCGCGCGCGCGCGAAAGATGATATCTTGGATATGAATAATTATAACAAGCAGGTTTGATTTTTGCTAAAGCTGATTGCTGATTGATGTTGCCATCTCATACAAAATCGTTCTCTCCCTCCCTTCTTCCCTCTCTCTATCTTTCTGCATTTGAGAGCTGACAGTCTATACATATTAATATTCCCTAGGAGGCGCAATGCCGAGTGATCGTATCGCTCGTTCAAGCTCCGACTCAATGTGCAACGATTCATCGTTACGTTTCAGGAGCGAAGATCTCGACGGAATTATCGATCTTCTGTGCATTAGAGCGCATTGCTCGTCTTCGCTCCTCGATCATTTGTCGTCGCGCCTGCTCTCTCGCCTCGCGCGCCTTTTTATTTGCTTCGCTATTCGCGGTCGGCTTCGCTTTGTGGACCGATATGACCCGTCGTTTACCGTTCTGTTGCGAGGCTGACGCTGCTTTCTTGTCCAGCACGACCTGTACAAAATATTAACGATATAACCGCGAATAATCGTGATCGCGGAACATCAAAGTGTTATAAAAACTGTTTAATTTTTATTTGAAAAGATAAAACAAAAAAAGATTTAAGAAGCATTACATTTAAAATATACCGTGTATATTCATATTCCTCTATTTTTTTCCATGTATCTTTTTATAATAGATATCTTTATTAATTCTTTTTTTTTAGTTAGAAAAACTTAAATTTGACATTGTACATCCTATTTTCAAATTTTCAAACAACATGGACAGAATTTTCCGTTTTATCAGATTTAGTACCGGTAATAATTTGAATTTATTTCTTAGCGAGATTGTTTCAAACTCTGTCAGTTTTCCTCGTCGATATTGGATTCGCGCGATATGGAAGCCAATTCAGTATTAACTCTAATAATATTTAAACGTACCTCTTGCCACTGTGACGTCCTCAGTTTTTCTATCTGGTCAAAAAGTTCGTTTACTTGAACAACCTGTAACATTACCATATCCCAAAAGCCAGCTAAGTCTTCATTCGTCGTTGGAAATTCTTCACCCGGTACCTGATTCTAAAATATCAGAATATGAACTGTTAGCTGAACTTAATCTCTCTCTCTCTCTCTCTCTCTCTCTCTCTAATTGCACAAGTAAAAAAACAATTAAAATAATACTTACAATATTCTTTTGACATAATCCTGCGAATTGCTGCATTTTCTGCGAAGCTAACAATTTGGCTTTTCCCGCAGCAGATCGTAGCTTACCAGCTGCTTCTTCTGGCAGTGCGACGGTGTCACCGCTGGCTAATTCGGCCTCTGCAGATGCGGCCAACGAGAGTAACCTATCTGTCTCTTGTTTTAATAACTAAAAACGAATATCTCTATGAATTTATATTACCGATTATATTTATAATCACGCCTGCGTCGCGTATAACATATGCATTTTTTCAACTACCTTCATAAAGTAATGACCATCTTTTTCTTCGATTACTTTTTCCGCTTCTTGAGTCTGTTTCGCTATATTCGTCGAACTGGTGCTAGGTTCTAACACAGGTAGCACTACTTTCGGCGCCGCTGGCTGTTGATCGGATATGCTTTTATTGCTAATATTGCGCTTCGGTGCGTCATCTTCTATGGTAATCGGAATTCTCGTTATGCTATTCTGTGAATTCGTAGTTGTGGGAATCTTTTGCTCGGTTTTTCTTGTCGGTGTTATCCTAAAAATGTAAAAGTATTTCGTCACTAAAGCAAGGAAATAAAATAAAACAATTACTATTTTATTTGTGAATAAAATGTAAATGCTTACCTTTGTAGAGGTTTTATGACTTGTTCCGTTCCGTCCGTAGGTTTTCTACTACCAACTACGGGAAGCTGTGCCCGAAATTCCGGGCGCAGGTGTCGCAAAACAGGCAGATTTTTCAAAGACTCTTCCATATTCGCGTTGTCTGCCGACATGTTATTATTATTACTGGATTTATTGAAATTACTGTCACTGGTGTTTAGCTTAGTGGTACTGCGTTTGTAGAAGAAACCCTGTGCCAGAGCACCCGGGCCATAAAGCCGCTCCACTCGCTGCTGAATAAAAGATTTTTCGCTGCTCGACGAAGTATTTATCACTTGACTTTCAACTTCCACCGTCGAACCGTTCAGAATACTAGCATCACTAAATGATGTATCTGACACTACATAAAAAACAAAGATTGAATTAACTAAAGAAATTTAGAAGACTTTATGATATGAAATATAAGTAAAACTATAAAATAGGAGGAACTTAATTGATAAAAATTAATATCAAAATATTATATCACACTAAATATTTTAATCCTTTTTGGACCCTTTTTAATTACACAATAATTGAAATAAGAAAAAATGAGTTTTACGATGTAAGCAAGAAATAACAATAAAACACATGGATAACAATAAAACAATGGAGTTAACACAATATAATACATAATATCATACATAAGTTATTTAATTGTAAATTGTAAAATAGTAATACAATATAAAAATATATTAATTAGAGATTCTGGCAATTAAAAATCTCAAAGTTTCACTAGACTAATTGTAAGATTTAGCAGTCGTAAAGCTTACCAAAGGTAATCCAAACATATAAAAGAATTCACAAACAAAAATTAAGATAATACAGAAAAACTAACCAACAACATATAGATACCAACAGTGTGTTTTCCGCCACAAAAAGCGGCAATTGTCAAACGTCAATAGTAATGTCAAAACAAATATAAGTCGATACTATGACCTAAGGAGTCGACAATATAGCGATAGCGACCGATATTTAAATATCGATAAAATTATCTAATAGAAAGAAAAATATACGTATCATTCTGTATTGGTCTATCTAACAATGTAAAAAATTAATTTTTATATATAATAATCGCAAAAAAGTTATTTTAATTTAAAATTCTCTCTCTCTCTCTCTCTCTCAAGAAAAAATAAAAAATTATACAAAAAATTATTTAAAAATATAATAAAATTAGCAATTAAAATTGTTTGTTGAAAAGAGTTTCCCTTACGATTAGCGACGCCCTGCTTCGGAGAGGAGAAACCCGTACTGTAGGACTTGTTCTGTTGACCGCAGGACATCATCTGCGGCAAGCCGGGACTCCGTTTAGTCGCAGAAGTGCTCATTCTGATAGGACTGAGATCGGGAAACGTCGTGTGTAACGATACTCCCTTATCGACTTCTGAATAACCCTGACATATGCTGATCGAGCTTCTGCTCTCCATGTACGTCTCGACCTTGCACTCTTCCTTCATACCATTCGTAAATCCGTTTTGCCTGTCCATCGCTAGCGGCGATATCGACTGACTCTTAGGCGGATGTTGGAGCGTCGGAACGCTGAGATTCTCGTTGGATCTTTTAACATTTTTTAGATACTTGTTTAACCGATATGTGTGTGTTTTACGAAGAAATAAAAAAAGTGAATTGCAAGCATCTCACCTGAAACCTGCAGGACTCGTGTCCCTCGTGATTAGCCTCGTGCCAGGACTGCTGTCTCTCGAGCGGAATCCTTCCCTCAGTTTGCTGTCGTACCTGGTGATTCCCGAGTAGCCGCTTATGCTGCACGCCAGTCCAAGATAACTTGGTTTCTTCGCTGCCGTCACCTGCTCCGGTTCCGGGCTGCCGCGTACATTGCTCACATTCAGCTTCTTTTCATCGGGGGTGAGATGCGACTTCTGCAACGTTTCGTTGCTGCCGTTCGCCAAATTCTCAGGTGACGACACCGGTTCGCCGTTGCACGCTGACAGATTCAAACTGTGCAGCGTCTTTTCCGACACGGAGTCTACGGTGTTCTCTGAAAGAGGAAATTCCAATGTAGCAAAAGCGTTCTTCTTCTTCAGCTCCAATTTACGATCTTATAATCCGTAGAAACTAAAATTACGAAAGACACTAGCGCAAATATCACATTGCATGATTGAATAAGATTTGATAATTTTGAAAAATTAGCTTCTGCATTATTAATACGATATGTGACAAACTAGAGTTGTATAAATCGATAATTGTGCACGTAAATATTTAAATCGCGCGTTCAAATACACGTTTAGGTCATATGTTAAATCGTATGTAAATTCACTAATAACTCGATTCATCGTGTTCTTATTAACTGATCAATGTTCGCGAGCCAATTCAACCGACGAGACATTTACCTTTGAAAAGCACTGCACCCACGCGATTACACATATGCCAACTCACGTTAAACGAATCTTATTCACATCGTTGTCGCGCAATGCGACCTTATTTTCTACGAATGGAGTTGTTCCAAGCTCGTTACGTCGAAACAACTTGGAAAAATTCAACTTGGTCACACAGTTCTAATCTACAATCGACTGAAGCACGCCTCGCAGAAGCGAGATGTACCGACGACAGTTCTTCACGCTCGTCTAAATTGTAGCAACGGTCTTGGAACACTGAGCAGAGAGACCCTCGCGGGCATCTCGTCAACGCCTTCTTGGCAACGATGAGGAAAAGAAGCATTGCACTTGGTGCGCTTGCCGGTCTAAATCCGATCGGCATTTCGAACGAGCAAAAAGCGCCCGCGACCTGCGAGAAGGTAACGGTGGGAGAGATCGGCGACCCCGAAGGACAACCTTGAAGTCTCGAAAATTTGCATGAATCTTGAATACTTGAGAATTAGCGTAATAATACGAAAGATGTATACAAAGTCTGAGCTAGTCACGCACAATCCTCTTTTTTATTTAAATAAATTTTACTAATCTGTAATGCATAAATTAGAATTTATAGTTAATTTTCGATATATTTGTTTTACGCGAGAAGTCGAAGTAAAATATATATGTGAGATAATTTTCACTGATTAGATAATTGCGCTGTTGGATATTTATCGGGCAGCTTTCAGCATCAATTAAAAGTGCTGTATTTTAGAATAATTGAAAGAACTTGTTCAAGAGATAAACTTTAAGAGATACGTTCTTTTCAGGCGCACATTCCATCTTTTTCTCCAGAATGATTACCTCGCTTGAGCGACGCGTCTAATCATTCTCCGCCCGACCGAGTTCTCACCGAGAATTCCCTGCGAGAAACGATCCTTCCAGCAAGAGACATTTTCTGTCATTGCAATAAAAAGTTTTCTTTCCTAAGTTCTAGATATTATTATTTAAAAATTCATCCAATTCGTGTTAATTATTAAATTTCCAAATTGTGATTCTCTTTTTGCGAAACTTTATTATATTTATAGATTACCGGATTATATCTATAAATAATGTTGCAATTTTTAAACGTATATGTATTTCAGATTTCTCTCATTGTTAGAGAATTTAGGATTTTGCTATAATAACTTAATTGAATAAAAATAATTTAGTCACAGAATCTTTCTCGACAATGTAACGATCTCTTATCAATAACGCGTCTCGCAATCGCGGGAGCGGTGTCTCTCAATGCGTAGATAGCCAACCTGATCGGTCGGACGCGGAGCGGTCGACGTCCAGGCTGCAGCTCCCGATGCTCTCCTGGCTGGTCATGTTGGGGTGATGTCTGGCGCCGATCGTCGCCGACAGTCTCTGGTCCGGGTCCAAGCGATGGTAGTTGAGAGGTTGCACGGCCAGAGAGAGCGGCCTAATGCGTCGATGCGAGCGGATGCCGCCGGCTCCGGGTACCGACGACGTCACCGTTGCGACACAGGAGTCGTCAACGTCCTCCAGACCCGCCACCTCGCCACCCCCGCGCGTCTGCCCGCTCGCTCGACGTTCCTCGTCCACGCGATCCTCGTGCACACTGCACAGGTCCGGTTCACATCCCGTATACTGTCACGCGTGTATCGGAGTTTGTTCTCGAGCTCGATATCGGTTTACGACATTTATATGTATATATATATATAATACATACGTGGTGTGCGATTCTAAATATACCGGTATTGCCGCAATATTTCTGATTAAAAATTGATGATGCTCTCTTTATAAAAAGCGAAAGAAAAGTTAATATATAACAAAATGTTATTTTTAGATTAGATCAATTTTTATAGAATTTTAAAACATTTAATATTTCGAAGGCTGAGATCGAGTTGAATTTCGTTTCAGAGAATATTATTTTAGCTTTCAAATAGAAATATTGTTTCTTTTTTCATTTTTCACCTTTATTTTTACCAAGTGCTATTATTTAACACCTTAATATCGTATAATAATATTTTAAAAAAAGACAATTTGTGATCCTAATGAATGAATCTGATAAAAAATATTGATTATTTGACTTTGAATAAGTTTGGAAATTTAGTAAAATTTAAAGAATCACAGAAAAGTGATCTCGAATGTAATGAGACTTTAAGTTACCTCCAAAAGGTCCAACGAAACGTTTCACGCGTTGGCCATCGTATTTCTCCGCATTTCCTTTTTAAATGTGACATTGCCTCGAAGCACGAGAAAGCGGCACGAATTAGCATTTACCGGTAATCGTTGCGACTGCTTTTTGCACGCGACATTCGTACGGCAACTGATAAATGAATCTCTGATATTGCTTTCTTTCATCGTGTATCACCGAGAGAGCTCGAGAACATCCGTGGGGACGGGAGCTGGCGCCACTCGAATAAGTCCGATAGATTACCGGTTTCTCGATGGACCAGCGTATATTTTGCATGTATAATATTACACAGCTGGATCTTGCCGAGGGACTCGACAATATAACATTGATGCAGGAGAATCTCGCAGACACAACAAAAATAGATTTTACAACAGTTGCCGCTCGGTTGAGCGAGCGAGAAGTCAATTTCGACGAGATTCCCTTGAAATTCTTTCGGCGCATTTTTGCGATGTAATATTAATGAGCCATATATTTTGTCTCTTACCAATGTAATGAGAGTAATTAGCGATATATCGACATAGCGCGCGCGTAACTGTCTGATAAAAGCTCAACGCTTTAACGTCCCAGCAATGGAGAAAACCAATTGGAAAGTTGCACAGCGCGATAAAAACCAGATTTGTGAGCTTAATGAAGGCAAACATCGTATCTTATGTGCAGGCAATCTCATTAATTTCACCGTGACTTTCGTATTTTCCTACATAATCAAGACAATGAATAAATAAGCAGTTTAATACATACGTGGTGTGCGATTCTAAATATACCGGTATTGCCGCAATATTTCTGATTAAAAATTGATGATGCTCTCTTTATAAAAAGCGAAAGAAAAGTTAATATATAACAAAATGTTATTTTTAGATTAGATCAATTTTTATAGAATTTTAAAACATTTAATATTTCGAAGGCTGAGATCGAGTTGAATTTCGTTTCAGAGAATATTATTTTAGCTTTCAAATAGAAATATTGTTTCTTTTTTCATTTTTCACCTTTATTTTTACCAAGTGCTATTATTTAACACCTTAATATCGTATAATAATATTTTAAAAAAAGACAATTTGTGATCCTAATGAATGAATCTGATAAAAAATATTGATTATTTGACTTTGAATAAGTTTGGAAATTTAGTAAAATTTAAAGAATCACAGAAAAGTGATCTCGAATGTAATGAGACTTTAAGTTACCTCCAAAAGGTCCAACAAAACGTTTCACGCGTTGGCCATCGTATTTCTCCGCATTTCCTTTTTAAATGTGACATTGCCTCGAAGCACGAGAAAGCGGCACGAATTAGCATTTACCGGTAATCGTTGCGACTGCTTTTTGCACGCGACATTCGTACGGCAACTGATAAATGAATCTCTGATATTGCTTTCTTTCATCGTGTATCACCGAGAGAGCTCGAGAACATCCGTGGGGACGGGAGCTGGCGCCACTCGAATAAGTCCGATAGATTACCGGTTTCTCGATGGACCAGCGTATATTTTGCATGTATAATATTACACAGCTGGATCTTGCCGAGGGACTCGACAATATAACATTGATGCAGGAGAATCTCGCAGACACAACAAAAATAGATTTTACAACAGTTGCCGCTCGGTTGAGCGAGCGAGAAGTCAATTTCGACGAGATTCCCTTGAAATTCTTTCGGCGCATTTTTGCGATGTAATATTAATGAGCCATATATTTTGTCTCTTACCAATGTAATGAGAGTAATTAGCGATATATCGACATAGCGCGCGCGTAACTGTCTGATAAAAGCTCAACGCTTTAACGTCCCAGCAATGGAGAAAACCAATTGGAAAGTTGCACAGCGCGATAAAAACCAGATTTGTGAGCTTAATGAAGGCAAACATCGTATCTTATGTGCAGGCAATCTCATTAATTTCACCGTGACTTTCGTATTTTCCTACATAATCAAGACAATGAATAAATAAGCAGTTTTTATTGTCGCGATTCACGCAACACGCATCAATGCCATATTTTCTTTTTTGCTTTATATTATGCATGAAACCTTCGCATATCATTAACTTTTTTTTATCTCAGTATAGCTATTATCGTATTTGTCAAGGTAAATATTTACAAAAAAAAAGACAAAGTAACATTATATAGGGTATCTCGTAATATGATACCAATTTCAGAAAAACAATCATTAAAAACAAAAATATTCATATAAACATATGTTCGATTTGATTTTGCTTTCAAATTTGCGGAAAATTTTATTCTAGCAATCTATATTTAGTTACTTTCACAAGACGTGCTCAAAATGATCATCTTGTATCGAAATGCAAGCCTGCCAACGTTTTTACTTGAGCTTTTACTTGTGGAATCATATGAAATCCATTATCTAAAGAACATTTATTAATAATATTGAAATATTCTATCATTGAACAAAGTTTCCAGCAAGTCCAAAGAACATTTGGAAAATTCGAAAGAATCAAAAGATGAGTATTAAAATGCTTACAGACGTACATTATTCAGATGCAAGATAGTCATTTTGAGCACTTTTTACGAAAAGATAAGCAGATACAGATTACTCAAATACTAAATTCAATAACCGTTATTTTTAATCAAAATAAAGGAACATTTAAAGAGCTGTGTAACAGATTTGGATCTCGGAGACGTTATTGCAGAGTGGCACCAGCTTCCAATAATTGATTTGTCGGTAATAACTCGCTCACGAGAAACTCGTGCAAATAGTTCCGGCTCGCGAATGAAATTGTCGGCAAATTGGCGCCGGTGTTAATTGCACGTGCTAATCGTGCGAATGGCATCGGTCATTCGTCGCGAGTCGAGCGGGGATATTAACTACAATTCCGTTCATTTTAGCTGCACACTTTTTTGTTTTTTAAAGTAAGATATATAGGTAGCAATATACATATATATATATCAATATTGTAAAGGAAAATAATTCAAGATTGCAAAAGTGTGGCTAAAAAGAATAAGCCTTACGTACAATCGTACAAATCAGCGCAAGCGGGTGCATATCGAATGAGTGCCATCAGACTATAATACATGCAGTTAAAGTCGCTCTCACATCGGCGACTAAACTCGCGCGACAGCTCTTCAACATGTTGCACAGGAAAAACGTATCGTCCATTGACGATTGTCGCACGTTTACTCGCTCATGTAATCGCGACGGCAGTGTAAGTGTAATGTACACGTAGGAACAGAAGGAATCTTTTCGAAAAAGTCACACAGTATAAAACGGCTCGTTTTTCAAATCGTTACATGCTTCGATTAGTTTTAAGTATTTATTTTTAGAATTATAATATACGAGATGCTCCAAAACAAGAATTAAATACGAAGAAATATTTTTATAGACATTCTATTAATATTATAATAAACGATATTATAATAAACGTATAAATTATAATAAACGAGTCTTACGAAATTACAAATACCGTATTGTGATAGATTTTTTGCATTATGATATGCATCGATGCAGCTCTAAAAAAATGCACCAGACTCCAGATTGCATTCTTGTGTACGTATAATATACACGGTGCTCGTAACGCGGGTTGAAGAAACGAGTCGCGCGAATAGATAGATAGATAGGTAGGTAGATTGTCCGGTGTTGTATAATATTGTTTACGATGCGGAAATCGGCGCTGACATAATTGCGAGTTAACGGTTTAAAGTGCATCGCGGATGTACAGGCGTGCGGCCAAGCAAAAATAAAGAGTGTAAGGTGAACGAATCATGCTCGATCGTCGATGACGATGATGATGGCGATGATGATGATGATGAGCGTGTGTATGCGTGTGTGGACGCACGTACGCGAGCGAGAATTAATCGACGGCCCGTTGGAGAAAATGTCGAAGTGTTATTATATACGTGCGTATATAACGATGTTTCTCCGTAAGGTGATGCTGACCGCGCAAGTATTCGAACAAATCACCATTGATGTGTCGAATCTATTAATTTCGCTTGTCTCGAATCTTGGATGCATCTCCGTACATCAGATAGGAATGACGTTTGAATGCATACCGTGGATGCATCATCGTACTATGCCGTTAATGAATCTCGACGAGACCTATTCACATTCTAATCGCTTACCGTAAATATTTAAAACGCAACAAACACATTATGCCTCCCAGTATCTGTTGCACCCTAAATATTTATATATGTATATATAATGGGACGTTAATTTATTATTAATGGATTAATCGCCAACGATATAAATTAAATATTAATCATGTATTAATTATCCATTCTCCGTGAGAATAAATATTGTAAATCCTGTGTTACTATTCATAATTAAAAAAAAAAAAAACATGCAAGTGTAATTCACACAATATCGAGCAACCCTGAGGATTCGCTCTTAAAATTCCGAGGAGATTTTTCAATCCTAAACGTCTTTTTCTCTCTGCCTACCTTCGCCGCCAATGTTTCCAGAGGAGAAACTTGGAGACATTCTTTCTCGTTACCGGATTCACTGTATAGGTACCGCTCTCAATTTTTAGAGGCATCCTTAGCCGCGAACGCGTCACTTCGGATTGCGCTCGATGCACATCGATGGCGTGCGAGCCAATATATCGATCGCAAGATGATCTGCGAATGTCAAAGGAGATGATATCGCACGCGTATTACTCTCCTGCTTGTATTTCGAAACGGCGATAAGCGTCGTTAAAAATGCGATTCCAAGCGTTATTGTGCGTTCTGTATGCGTGCTATATTATTCATATATATCCTCCTCTCTCTAAATTAATAAGAATTGGGGAATTTTTATTTCTTATTAAAATATTATTAATATTTTATAGTTATGTGTTTATAAATACATCACAGTTCATCTTATTGTCAATTAATCGCACATAAGTAAAGAGGATATATCCGTAACGCAGTTTCACCGATCGCTACCGATTTATTTATTCTGGTTCACGCGGCGATTGTGATTTTTCTCTTTTTCGCGTTGCTCTTTGTCACCGTGGTACTCGCGAGCACGTTTCTAGGATGACTAGTTGCCGAAGACTGGCATCCTCCCAATCTCATCTCTCTGTACCGTGATTCTCTCTCTCTCTCTCTCTTTCTCTTTCACCCAGTCTCTTTCAATCTCCCGTCTTTCCAACTGGTCTCTTTATCTTTCCTCGAGTCGGAAGTATTTTTGGAACACTCAAAAAACCACGATGGCACACGGTGCCGCTTTCTCCCGTCTCCCTGCATGTTGTCTTTTCTTCTTCTTCTTCTGCTTCTGTCTTACTCCCTTTGCGCGGGCATTAACGCGTGAACGAACGTGGAAGGGCGCATGAATCTAAAGAGGATCGCGAGCGGAAAGTCGGCGTGTCTACACGTGCCCGGCACGCGCGTGCGCCACCGAAAGAAGCGTGTTGCAAAGACGATCAACACATAACTCCCGAGCAATCTTTACAAACTGTCATTCACTCGCTTGCGACGAAACTTGATAAATTTCTAAGATATAAAAAAATTTAACGCATTTCTATTACAAATTATAAGTATAAATCACTCTCCGAATCTTATGTAATCATTCGATATTAAGCCGGAAATTATCGAAAATAAGAGTTGTTTCTTTTCTTCTCTTCTATCTTTGCTAAAATTATGCGATAAAAATAAAAATAAAAATGAATAGCACAAGATTAATTTTCTTAAGCAATTTTCTAGAAATAATCGAATAACGCTTCCCCGGAAGAAGAAAAGTTTGCCTTCGATTTCACGTGCGGGCGAGCA